GCAGTTGAGAGATGATCGAGTTAAACTAGTCTAGTAGATCTAGTAGTCTAAACTCTTAGTACTTTTATTATGTTGTTCTTTTGACGGATTTGTAGACTTGGATGTTTATGTTTGATGTTAGAACTTATGTTTTGAAGTCCCGGTGTGATGACTAGACATCGGGGCGCTTTTCCCCTTATGACTTTTAATGACGTGATTCGGATGTTAGTTTGATTTATAGTTTTAGTTCCATCCTTAGCCTGTGCAATCACCATGGAATAGTGGTTGTGGCGGTGACATGCCCACTAGTTTATTTAACGAATTGTTTATCCGCTGCTTAGTTTATACAATTTTGGTTTTAGAATTGTAATTAAGATTAAGAAAAGTGGGGTGTTACAGCTATGCTGACTTTTCACAAATTTTACCACTAGAACTTTATTGATTAAAGTAGTAGTAGAATTAGTCAGCTTCACAGGGGTTTGAGAACATGATGGATCGTAGCCCAATCCGGCTTTATCTCCAGCGGGTTTTTGCATGCTAACCATTTTATCCATTATTTTGGATGAATGCGTAAATGATGCGATTACTTCCCGAAGGTTATGTTCTCGAACCTCTCTAGCTTTGCACTCTTCTTGAAGTCGAATATTTTCGGCTTTCAAGTTACTCAATTCAAGTAAAGCATTTTGCAATTTTTGTGCCATTTCTTCCTTTTCAAGGATTAACAAATTATTGCGCTCTTTGACTTGAGTATGAGTGGCCATGACCTCTTGACAATCTTTCATGAGACTTAGAAATGATTCTTAAGTCTGGAAAGAGGTGTCAACTGAATTGAAGGAACTAAAGGAACTAGAAGATACCTCTTCGTCGGTTTCGTTCGCCATCAACCAATCCTCATGTTCGGATGTCTTGCCTACCAGGCATAGTATCACCGTATCTTCTTGTGATGAATCACTTTCGTCACTAGATGATTTTTCGGATTCACTTGTTTCTAGCGGATCGCTTATTAGTGCCTTCCGCTTGTCCTTTTTGAATTTCTTCTCTTTCGATTTGTATTCAACCTGTGGAGAGTTAGAGGTGTTCGAATTTTTGTTCACCTTGGGGTGTGGGGCCATAAAGTGTCCAGGCTTTCTACAATTGTAACACACATTTGTGTTATCTTCGACAGATTCTCTTCTTGATCTTCTATTTTCTCGAAATGAACTTCCTTGTGGTGATCCTTTGTTCTTTCGCATGAACTTCTTGAATTTCCTAACAAATAGGGAAAATTGTTCGTCAAATAAAAAATCATTATTTCCTACTAATGTTCGGCCATCAATGCGGATGTTCGTTCATCGCGTTCTTCTTCGACTCATGTCTTCATCTCAAACTCGTATGCCTTAAGATCACTAAAGAGTTTATCCGTAGATAATGTCCTTAGATCTCTATGGTCACGCATTGCGGTCACCTTCATATCCCAACTTGTTGGTAGTCCGCGTAACACTTTGAGCGATATTTCCTTCTGGGTAATGGTCTTTCCCAGATCCGTGATTTCTCCAAAGATTTTGATCAATCGAGCTTCCATATCGGTGATGCTTTCGTTCGAAAGCATTTTGAAATCTTCAAATCTCTTCATGGCGATGGTTAGTTTGTTGTCTTTTTCTTGTTCGTCGCCTTCTCCAATACTGATAAGTGTATCCCATATTTCTTTTGCTGTAGTGCACTTTCTAATTTTTGGGAATATGGTGTCATCTATGGCTTTGCACAAAATATCTTTGGCAATGTTGTCCAAATTATTTCGTCCTCTGTCTTCACTCGTCCACTCTATTTTTGGCTTTGGAACATATTGTGGAGCATTTGGATCTCGTGCAACGGCAGTATTGATTTGCATGATCGAGATAGGACCATTTGTGATGACTTCCCACATTTCAGCATTTAGAGTAGATAAGTGTACCTGCATTCAAATTTTCCAATCATCAAATTGTCAAGTGAGAAAAGCAGATTTTGAGCGAGAACCATATCTCTCTTCATTTTGAAGTTTTGAGATCTGTCTAGCAGTAAAAAATGACTTAAATAGACAACTACTCTGATACCACTTGTTGGTTCCGAAAGGGTGGCGAGAAGTGTAGAGAGAGAGAGAGAGAGAGAGAGAGAGAGAGAGAGGGGGGGGGGGTGAATAGACTTCTCTAACTTTTTAAAACTTTTCTTAAACACACAAGGCAAATAACACTTTGGTAATTTCAACTCTAAATAACAAGCATAAACAAGTTAAACAACTTAGAGTGTGCAGCGGAATAGATAGCGGGAAAGTGTTATGCTTGATTGTGTAGTGCTCAAGGAGAGATTCTAAACATGTAATACGTTAGAAACACTTGATATGGCACAATGATGATGTATGTAAAATTTGGCTTGCATGCGAACGTGGGAACTATCAAACCCAGACAGCTAAAGATAAGCGATAAATCGTAATCAGGTTAGTTCGCAATTAGAACAAGCATGCAAAAAATAAATGAGCAGAAAGTAAAGAGAGAGAGATTTATAGTGGTTCGGAGATGATGTACTTCTCCTACTCCACTCTTCTTCTTTCACTCCAAGGAGGAAATTCACTATTCTTCGATCACCCAGATACAATAGTGAATCAATGTCCACCGACACTCCCTGAGTGCTTCGCACAAAGCTACACTCCACCAAGGTTTTTCACAAGCTCCTCTTGTTACTCCGCCTTCCCGAGTACTTCACACCAAGCTGTACTCCTACACCACGAAAACTACGCACAAAGCTACGCTCTCACAGGGTTTTCACAAGCTCCCCTTGTTACTCTGCCCTTTACAACGAGTGCTACGCACAAAGCTACACTCAACCAGGGTTTTTCACTCTCTCTAGTTACTCCGCCATCTTTCTACACTCAGTAGAGATGTTTACAAAGAAATAAAATATTTCTCTCTCACTCAGACTTGAATATTATTCTATGTAGGGGTGTGCAAAAACCGACCCACCCGAATTACCCGACCGACCCCAACCTGTTTAAGCTCTATTTGGGGCAATCCGAACCCGAACAGCATGAACCGAACCGATGGTACAAAAATAAGTCGGTTTAGAGGAGGTGGGTTGGGGCTTATAAATTCCCCCCCGAACCCGTCCGATTACCCGAATTAGGGTAAGGGTTCGTTTACCCTAAGGTAGACGACATCGTCCTAGCGATGTATATATGTGTTGCGTCCGATGGAAACCCTAGCCATTCCACTCATTTGCGCAGCTTCCTCTTCTTTCTTCTGACCTCTGAGAACTCTCTGGAAACCCTAGCCATTCCACTCGTTCTCTCGTTCTCTCGTGAGTTTCTTCTCCAGTTCTCTGATTCTGTGAGAGTGTGAGACACTGAGTTCTCTCGTTCTCTCTGAGTTTCTTCTAGAGACTGAGAGTGATATTGTTCGGTGGAAGCTGAGAGTGTGAGTCTCCGGTGGAAGCTAGGTAATATTGTTCGGTGGAAGCCCTATTCTGGACGACCGGTGTCCGGTGGCCGGTGCAGTGGATTGTAGAGTGCTGTCACGGTCTAACGGATTTGAAGCCCTTTGTTCTCGGGGGTTTGATTTGGAGAAACGAAGTAATCTCTAAACCCTAATCTTAGACTTACTTAGATTATACTCTTATATGTTGTGATACTTTTGTGTTAGTTGTGATTGTATGATTCTGATGACTGTGACACTGTGAATCTGTTGAGAAGTTCCGGATTCTGATGTCACTTGTCCCTTAGTTGTGAATTTTTGATCCTTTGATTATGTCATTTATGTGGACTGTGACAATGTGAATCTATTGAGAAGTTCTGGATTCTGATGTCACTTGTCCCTTAGTTGTGAATTTTTGATCCTTTTATTAGGGTTTCTATGATTATGTCATTTATGTGGACTGCGACAATGTGAATTTGTTGAGAAGTTCTGGATTCTGATGTCACTTGTCCCTTAGTTGTGAATTTTTGATCCTTTGATTAGGGTTTCTATGATTATGTCATTTATGTGGACTGTGACAATGTGAATCTGTTGAGAAGTTCTGGATTCTGATGTCACTTGTCCCTTAGTTGTGAATTTTTGATCCTTTGATTAGGGTTTCTATGATTATGTCATTTATGTGGACTGTGACAATGTGAATCTGTTGAGAAGTTCTGGATTCTGATGTCACTTGTCTCTTAGTTGTGAATTTTTGATCCTTTGATTAGGGTTTCTATGATTATGTCATTTATGTGGACTGTGACAATGTGAATCTGTTGAGAAGTTCTGGATTCTGATGTCACTTGTCTGTATTGTTTGTGGAAGCCCCTAAGTCCCTAACCCAGTAACCCCTGTTGAGCGTTGGCTGTTGGATGTTGCCTGTGTTGGTGAAAATGGTGGATTGGTGGAAGCCCCAATTGTAACTACCAACTCTTAAATCCAGTAAAATGATGAGAAAGTGTTCAGGCTAACAGGTTCCTGATTACTGGATTTCTTTGTCACTTTGTTATGTGATACTGTGATTGTATCACTGTATGCCTGTATAGATTATAACTTATAAGTTATAAGTTTATGGATGTATGACCCTTAATAGTTAATTCCGTAAAGTCCCAACTATGAAATTTAGAAAAATGATGAAGTTAAGAGGTGCCTGTCTTCTGATTCTGGATTTCTCTATTTCTCTCAGTTGTATGTGACTATCTGAATATCTGTACTTGTTCAATATGTTTCCCACTGAGTAGTGACCACTATACTGATGGTATTCCATTTACTTACATGGAAAATATCACAGAGTCTGGAAGTCAACCTTCTAAATCTTCAATTGATGGGTCTACAGTGGTGGAAGGCTAAACTATTGACACAAATAATCAACAGAATGTGCAACCTACTACTGCAGTTCCTGAGAAGAAGAGGAAGATTGTTGAGTCCAGATCTCCAGTGTGGGATCATTATGAAAAAATTAAAGATAGTACTGGTGTTACTATCAAAGGCAAGTGTATATATTGTGCCAAAATATATCAATGTCAGTCTAAAAAGCATGGTACTACCTCCTTGAGAAACCACATGCTTAGCTGTCTGAAAAACCCCCACTCTAAAGACACTAGACAATCACTGTTAACCTTTCAAGCTATTACAAATTCTGATGCATCTCCTGCTACTGTTGGTGAGTTAGGAACTTGGGTCTTTAACCAGGAAGCTATTAGGAGGGCTTTGGTTGAAATGATTATAATTGATGAACTGCCTTTTAGATTTGTGGAGGGTCCAGGGTTTAGGAAGTTCATTCTGGTGGCTTGTCCTAGGTTTAAGATTCCATCTAGATGGACAATTAGTAGGGACATCAATCTGATTTATGAAGAGGAAAGATTGAAGTTGAAATGTGTTTTTAGGGGGAACACTCAAAGAGTCAGTATTACAACTGACACTTGGACTTCTATTCAGAGAATTAACTACATGGTAGTGACTGCCCATTTTATAGATGAAGAGTGGAAGCTTAAAAAGAAGATTATCTCATTTGTCCCTATTACATCACATAAGGGTGAGGCTGTAGCAAAAGTCCTTGAAACCTGTTTGCTTGATTGGGGGATTAGGAATGTGTATAGTATAACTGTAGACAATGCTTCATCTAATGACACTGCTATAGGTTTTTTAAAAAAGAAATTGATGTCTTGGGGAACATCTACTGTGAAGGGCAAGTATATTCACATGAGATGTATTGCCCATATTCTGAACCTTGTTGTCCAAGATGGCCTGAAACAATGTGATTCTTCTGTGAAGAGGGTAAGGGAGGCTGTAAGATATGTGAGGAGTTCACCTGCTAGACTTAAGAAATTTAGGGACTTGGCTGAGTGGAATGGGATTGAACAGAAATCATCTTTGTGTCTAGATGTTCCAACCAGATGGAACTCTACATATCTTATGTTACAATCTGCAATTATTTATGAGAAAGTGTTTGAGTCACTTGAAGAAAGTGATACTGCATACAAATCAGATCTGTCTGATGCTGTTCTTACTTTTCTTGATTGGGAGTCTGTGAAGAGTTTAGTGGAGATCTTGAAATGCTTTTATGATATGACAATAAGAATTTCTGGTTCTTTATATGTCACTTCTAACACTTTCTTTTCTGAAATTTCTGATTTATACTGCCTCTTGAATGGCATGGTGGAAGCTGGAGGGTCTGTGAAACTGATGGGAGAAAATATGAAGGTTAAATTTGAGAAATATTGGGGGGATATAGATAAAATGAACTTGATGATATTCTTTGCAAACATTCTAGACCCAAGAGACAAGTTAGAGTACATGGCAACACAGATGAATCACATGTATGGTGAGGAAAAAGGTAAACCATACTATGAGAAAGTGATTGCAGCCTTGAAAGAGTTGTTTAATGATTATGCTGCCTCTACTCCTGTCTCTACTCCTGCCTCTACTCCTGTCAGTACTCCTACTGATTTTTCACAGTCTACAGTTGGGAGGCCCCAACATTTGTTAAAGTCACAGATTAAGAAACAAAGATTGGAGAGTGGGGGAATGAAAAAAACTGAGTTAGAAATTTACCTTGCTGAGGCAATACTTGAAGAAGAAACCTCTTTTGACATACTTAGATGGTGGAAGTTGAATGCTGAAAGGTTTCCTATCCTTTCTAAGATAGCTAGGGATGTTTTAGCTATACCAATATCTACTGTTGCATCAGAATCTGCCTTCAGTACATCTGGTAGGGTTTTGGATCCTTTTAGGAGTTCATTAACTCCTAAAATTGTGGAAGCTTTGGTCTGTACGCAGGATTGGCTTAGGCTATCAAATACCCCATTATCAATTGAGGAAAATCTGGAGGAATTGGAGAGATTTGAACAAGGTAACACATTCTATTTTATTTTTTTTTTAACAATTTGTTATTTCCTATTTTCCTTATAATTTTTTGTTGTTGCAGAAATTAGTACTGATGGTGGCAGTGGAACTGGAAGGAGTGGTGGTTCTACACTTGCTACAATTCCTGTAATGCTATGCTTTGTACTTTATACTTTATACTGCTGTTTCTGTTTGAATGTATTCTGTAATACATTTATGCTGTTTGCCTGTTATTCATGACTCATGAGGCTTGCTTGCAGCTGGCTTGGTAACTAATTAAATTAGTTGCTGCCATTGTAAGTTGTTACATTGTTGGTAAGTTGGCACATTTTACAATTTGTTTATGTTTTATACTTTTATTATATTATGGCCATGATGAAAGCTTCCACCAATGATCTGAAAAATAAGGGATTAAGCTGGTATGTTGCTCTATCCTCATGGGGATGTTGTAGCAATTTCCCCTTAATCCTAACTTTGATATGGATAAAAAGCTTACTGAGCCAAGTTTATAAATTATAACTGTCTAATGATATTCTGTTGCTCAATAACTTATTTTTGCTATTTGGCATTTTGACTTATTGCTAACTTTGCTTAAGTTTTGAGTGTTTACAGGAAGATGAAGAACAATAGGAAGAGATTAGGAACTCTAGGAAGACTAGGAAGTAGGAACTTGGAATATTCAGTACTTTTTTGGCATGTAATTGCAATTTGCAAGGATAATTTTTTGACTTAAGTGCATATTCAGTAGTATTTTGGCATGTAATTGCAGTTAGAGTAAAATGTAATTGCATGTATGTTATATTAACTTTTTATATTTACACTGTTTTGTTCAATTTTGTAGTGCTTTTCCTTTATTTCATTATTATCAAACTATCCGAAATTGGTTCGGATATCCGACCGAACCGACCCCAACCGAAGTTCAGTCAAACCGAATAGATTTCTTTGATTAAAAAACGAAATAGGATTTAAATAATGATATCCGAAATCCAAAAGGGTTGCCCATCCGCCCACCCGAACCGCCCCGATCGACCGATGCACCCCCCTAATTCTATGAAGCTCTGTTTCTCTTCTTGGCTGATTTGAATGAATGCTTTCTTTTCTCTTGCTTGTATATCTTAATCGATCCGTCGTGCTTGTTTTCAAGTCTGTTTGGACAATTTATAGCCAATGAAAGCTATTTGCCTGTTGATCAACTTTCGATCTCGATCGTCCATCTTCGTATGTAGTTGATCAAAATAAAGTTGTCAACTTGATCTGAAATGTTTAGGCAGTAGTCATTCACCTTTTGTCAGACAATTTGAATATTTTGCCCGTTGCCATGTCTTGAAATTTGTAGCCTCCAAGATTTGAAAAAGTTTGGCGCGGCAAACTTGACATTTCTTGTCCTTCATAAATGTTCTGACATATCAAGTTGATCAAATAATTCATCTGCTGATTCTTGCTTGAGTATGGTAATATATCTCTGTGAATCAGCATTCTTCGAGCGTCTCTGGTTCCATCGTGAAAAAGTTGTTGTTCAGATAAAATTATATCAGCATTTTCATATTCACAATCCATGTAGAATGATATATTGGAACCTCTATAAAAACTTTATGGCTGTGCATGGTGAGGTGCTCTGTTTCGGTTTTGTGCTTGGTCCACCTTGCATGGTGTGTTTCTTCATTTGGTGCATAGCTTCTGTGAGACTGGTGCATTCCTTCATTTCATGATGCTTAGTCTCCTTTTTTACTTAGTCTCCACCTTGCATAGTCTCCAAGCTACTTAGTTTCCAACCTGGTTAGTCTCCCAAGCTACTTAGTCTCCAACTTGGTTAGTCTCCCAAGTGCATAGTCTCCAACGTGGTTAGTGTTCCAAGTGCATAGTCTCTTACTTGGTTAGTCTCCAAGCTACTTAGTCTCCTTCTTGGTCAGTCCCAAAGCTACTTAGTCTCCCACTTGGATAGTCTCCCAAGCTACTTAGTCTCGTCGATTCAAACTAAGGATCTTTTGGTATAGTTCACACGCGTATCATCCAACTTTTCTAGCATGATTCTTGATGATTTGTATGCAACATAAATGTGTTAAGCTATAATCCCGCTTAACTCTTCAAATAAATTATGATCTTCAAGACTTGTAAGTGTGTTGCATGATATGGGTACACCATACTTTGTGGACTCAAAACTGACTCAAAAAAAATAAAATTGGGGACTACTTGATTTTTCAAAAATACATTCGGCTCATCAAAACTTTACATTTTATTCCTAACAATATCCTAATTTTTATAAAAGGTAATTATTCTCATAATTTTTTTTTCTTTCTTTTGTGAAATTATTATTGTAATTTTATGGTAATGTATTCAAATATTGGAAGAGAACAATAATTAATATAATTAATATAATTAATGAAATTGAGAAATATAAGATTTCTTATATAGAAATGTTTGTGACAAGTTCTTTAAATTATAATTAATAAAATATAAAATATAATAATGAAATGAAATTATAAAATTAACAAAACATCAATATTTATAATTTTTTAAAATATACATACATACACTTTTTAAATTTCTAAATATAATTTTTTAAGTATAAATTTATCAATATAAATTATAATTAATGAAATTATATTATAGAATTTTTCTATATACATATTAATAAATATTTGGTGTATATACAATGTATTATACAATCATATAAGGATATGCATCCCATTAGAGTTTATATTTATTCGTACAAAATTTAGAATTTACATTTTTTATTGATTGCTATGTACAGTTCTCTTAGTTATTATTATTCATATTTTTTGAATTATAATATATATGAAATACAATTTGGAATAAATCAACTAAATTATATGAATTTATTCTTTAAATTTATCTAAATATGTACATGATTAGATATTATATTAACCATACAAAATTTAAATTTTAATTTTGTATGTTATGAAAATAGATACTTGAACAAATATATAAAAGTCCAACTATATTATTATATTGTACATTTTAACATATTTTTATTTTTTTATTTAAATTTTAAATTCATAATAACAAAAAAATTTCCGTGCAACGCACGGGTAAAACACTATATTTAAAAAATTACAATTTGATAAATATCATAAATTATAATAATTAAAAAAATTCAAATATATGAATCAATGATTTCAAAATGAAATTAATATACAGTTGTAAATAAATATAGCATGATTAGATTTACTTTAATTAGTTTTAATTTCTATAATCAAATGACTTTTTTTTATCGGTTTTTTTATGGGAGGCTAAGAAAGTGTTTGAATTGCTGGAAAATATTTTAAAATAAAAATGCATACTGATAAAAAACAATTTCAAAATATTTTATAACCTCTCACAACATGTGTAAATGTTATATTTCATTAAAATACAATTTGATAAATATCATAATTTCTGTTTATAATAGTTAAAGAAAAAAAATAAATAATTCAAAGATGTGAACCAATGATTTCAAAATGAAATTAATATACATTTACAAATAAATATAGCATGATTAGATTTACTTTCATTAGTTTTAATTTTATTAATGAAATAACTTTTATTTTTTAGTTTTTTATTAAAGACTAAGGGAGCGTTTGGGTTGCTCGAAAATATTTTTAAAATAAAAATACTTACTAATAAAAAATAATTTTAAAATATTTTTTAATCCCTAAACATGAAAAAATTTTATATTTTAAAAAAATAAAATTTGATAAATATCTTAAATTAATTATTGCAATATCATTTATGTTTACAATGAGAATACTTAAAGAAAAAATAAATAATTCAAATATGTGAACCAATGATTTCAAAATGAAATTAATATACAGTTACAAATAAATATAGCATGATTTGATTTATTTTAATTAGTTTTAATTTCCTTAGTGAAATGACTTTAATAAAAGTAAAATCATCCTTTACAACATTCCAGCTCAAATTAATATGAATATTAATAAATTAGTAAAAAACTAATAAAGCTTAATTGGTAACAAAATTTTATATGAAAATTAACAAATATCTAATGAATTGTTACGAGTTCAAAAAAAAAAAAATCTAATGAATTGTTACCAAAAATTAAAAGTCAATATGTACATAAAAATGGAAAATGGTTGCCAAGTTCTAAGAATAATTAAATTATTATAATTGTGAAAATAATGGATACAAATTCTACGTAACAAATGAGAAAATTTGTTTGAAATTATGCATAATTTTATAAAGAAATAATAATTTATTAATTATTATTCACATCAATTTATACTATTAATAAAAGTAAAATCCTCATCTTCAACATTCCTGCCCAAATTTATATGAATATTAATTAATTGGTAAAAAAAATTAATAAAGTTTAATTGGTAACAAAATTTTATATGAAAATTAACTAATATTTAATAAATTTTTAACACAAATTAAAGTTAATATGTACTTAAAATGGAAAATGGTTATCAAATTCTGAGAATAATTAAACCATTATAATTGTGAGAATAACGGAAACAAATTCTGCGTAATAAATGAGAAAATCCATTTGAAATTCTATGTAATTTTATAAGAAAATAATAATTTATTAATTATTATTTACACAAATCTATATCTATACTATTAATAAAAGTAAAATCTTCAATTAAAATGCTTTCACCCTTCTGATACGAGATTGCCCTTCAAGTTCTAACGAAAACAATTCAAGTTGATGCTCGCATATGCCATGACTATCAACAAAAGTCAGGGTCAAACACTAACTCACGTTGAGTTATTACTGAAAAAACCAGTCTTTAATCACGGTTAATTGTATGTGACTTTTTCCCGAGTCACCCATCCTGATGGTCTGATGGTCTGATGGTTTTAACTCTAAACGAGGATGGATAAAATTCCGTTACTACTACCAATATCGTCTAGAAAGAGATTTTCAATAATGTATAATTCAAGTGATTGATATAAATAATGTATAATCCGTTGCTATATATCTATATAGAAAATATATCTTCCGTATAAATAATTTCTATAACTGAGTTGCTAGACAACGAGCTAAATAGCTCAATTAATACAAATTCTAAATACTGATATATAAAATCTCTGAAGTTGCAGCATCGAATGCGTATATCTACACGTTAGCTATTAATTGGGCAATTATTTACTCGAATTCAAGCATTGATAACATCAGAAAACATAACCGGTGCAACTCAATTCTTAAATTATACTATATAATATTCGATGTTATAATTTATACAATTGTATATCGATCTAAATATTTTTAAAATATTATAACAAATTCATTCCGTGCAACGCACGAGCGCAAATACTAGTTGTTTTTAAAAGTAAAATCTTTTTTTTAAAAAAAAAAAATAATGTCAAATATTCTAAAATAAAGATCCCTTCCCTATACTTATTTCAAACATTGTCCTCAATGTTGAGAACAAAAATTATAAGTGAAACACAACAAAATGAAATAAAGGTGAAAGGGAAAGAGAATTGGGTTGCTTCCCAATAGCGCTTCAATTATTGTCTGTAGCTAGACACATGGGCATTCAAAGTCCTGCAACTCTATCCATTCAATACTCTGGACTAAGGGATCACCATCGAGGTACTGTTTTAGTCTTTGCCCATTTCCCTTAAATTTTTCACTTGTTTCTGGATTTTCAATCTCACAGGCACCATGAGAAAATACTTCACGTACCACAAAAGGCCCTGTCCACCTAGATTTTAACTTACCTGGAAACAATCTCAAACGAGAGTAAAATAACAAAACTTTCATCCCAAGTTTAAAATTTTTCCTCAAAACAAATTTATCATGGTAAGCTTTAGTCCACTCTTTATAGAGTTTTGAGTTTTCATAGGCCTCATTCCTTATTTCATCTAATTCATTCAAATTTAGTTTTGTAATTCCACCAGCCTTCTGCAAATCAAAATTTAGGAATTTAATAACCCAATAGGCTTTGTGTTCTAACTCTACTGGCAAATGACAAGCTTTCCCAAATACCAACCTGTATGGGCTTATACCAATTGGGGTCTTGTAGGCTGTCCTGTAAGCCCACAGTGCATCATTCAGCTTGATGGCCCAATCCTTCCGGAAGGATTCACCGTTTTTTCCAGAATTCCTTTGATTTGTCTGTTACTCACCTCTACTTGACCAAAGGTTTGTGGATGGTATGGAGTAGCTACTTTATGAGTAATGCCATATTTTTTCAGAAGAACTGCAAAAAGTTTATTACAGAAGTGGGTACCTTCATCGCTAATAATAGCTCTGGGTGTCCCAAACCTGGCAAAAATACCTTTTAGAAATTTCAAAACAACTTTACTGTCATTTGTCCTAGTGGCTACATCTTCAACCCATTTTGATACATAATCAACAGCCACAAGAATATAATTATAACCAAAGGAAGTAGGAAATGGCCCCATGAAATCAATTCCCCCAACATCAAACAGATCAATAACTAGAATATTTGAGAGGGGCATTTCATGACGCTTACTTATATTACCAATCCTCTGGCGTCTATCACACTTAGCACAAAATTCATATGTATTCTTAAACAAAGTGGGCCAATAAAAACCAGACTACAAAACTTTCGATGCAGTTTTCTTCCCACTAAAATGACCTCCGCAATTTAAAGTGTGACTGTGATTCAAAATATTTTGCTGTTCAAACTTAGGAATACACCTTTGAATTATTTGATCAGGACAAATTTTAAACAAATAATGCTCATCCTAAAAAAATGTTTTGCTTTGAAAAGAAAATATTTTTTTCCTTGTGAATTTAAGTCTGGGTGAAATTGACCCGAGACTAAATAATTCACAATGTCTGCATACCAAGGTTCTTTATGCTGTAAAGAAAGCAACTGTTCACCTGGAAACCTGTCATTGATAGGCAGTGTTGCAAAAATCGCGCCTAAGCGGCCATTAGCCGGGTTGAGGAAGGCCGGAATCGACCTCCTCCGCAGCCAGCTGCTTAGGCGGCGCCTAGACCGCCTAGCCTGCCGATCCGTCCCAACCTTCATCTTTTTTTTTTTTTTTTTTTTTTTTTTTTTTTTGCGCTAAGAATCGAGACTTCAGAAGAAAGTCAGAAGTTTGAAGTAGGAATTAAATCGAGACTTCGCCGAAGTCAGAAGTTAAATCGAGACTTCGCCGACCACGCCCATCCGCCTCCGCTTCCGAAGCGTCACCCACGCGACCACGCTCCTCCGCCAATCGCCGGCTCATGTCGGCAACCATGGAAGCGACCTCTGCGCTCAAATCAACGGCCATGTTGTCTTGTTGGTTGAATGATTCTATTAGAACTCGAGAAGACGCAACTCTTCTCTTCTCATGGACTGAAAATCTGAAATGCTTGAAATCTGAAAGATGGTTGAGTGTTGCTTTTTACGTTTTGGGTATCTCAATGCTTGTTGAGATTTGAGAACTACAGTAGTGTTGTTTTTTTACTTTTTGGTTATATCAATGCATGGTTGTTGGGATTTCGGAACATCAGTTGTCACACACTAATATCTTTTTTTTTTTTGAAAACTCACCATAATGTCTCAAGTCTCTAATGTTTAATTTAAAAAATAAAAAATAATTAAAAAAAAAGTAAATCGGTGCCTAGCGTCTTTTTTAACATTGTTGATAAGAATATCAGAATTAGGACAATTATTAGCTGCCTCGGGTAAACGAGATAAATGGTTAGCGACCAAATTCTCGCACCCTTTCTTGTCCTTGATAGTTAAATCAAACTCTTGCAGCAATAAAATCCATCTTATTAGTCTTGGTTTAGCATCTTTTTTAGCCAGCAAAAATTTTAGACCAGAATGATTAGAATAAACAATCACTTTAGAACCAATCAAGTAAAAACGGAATTTCTCTAAAGCAAAGACTATATCCAACAACTCCTTTTCAGTAGTTCTGTAGTTAACCTAAGCATTATCCAAAGTTCTACTTGCATAATGAATCACATAAGGCATTTTATTAATTCTTTGTCCTAAAACAGCACCTATGGCATAATCAGATACATCACACATTATTTCAAAAGGAAACTCTCAATTAGGTGCAGCAAGAATGGAAGCAGAAGTTAATTTTTCTTTCAAAAAGTTGAAAATAGATAAGCATTCATCATCAAATTTAAAAACAAAATCTTTTGCAAGCAGGCTACATAAAGGCCTACAAATTTTTGAAAAGTCTTTTATGAAATGTCTGTAAAAACCTGCATGACCAAGAAAACTTCGCACTTCTTTTACAGATGTAGGGGGAGGTAATTTAGAAATAACATCAATTTTAGCCTTATCAACCTCTATTCCCTTGTCAGAAATTATATACCCCAAAACAATGCCCTCTTTAACCATGAAATTACTTTTTTTTCCAACTTAGGGTTAAGTTCATTTTGACACACTTTCAAGCACATAAGATAAATGAGCAAGGCAGTCATCAAAAGAATCACCAAACAGGAAAAAATTATCCATAAACACTTCAACATATCTTTCAATCATATCAAAAAATATTGACATCATACACCTTCGAAAGGTCGCAGGTGCATTACATAACCCAAATGACATTCTGCGATAAGCAAAAGTGCCAAAAGGGCATGTAAATGTCGTTTTTTTCTTGATTTTCAAGTGCAATAGGAATCTGAAAATAACCTTGAAAGCCATCAAGAAAACAATAATAAGCATGCCCAACTAATCTTTCTAACATTTGGTTAATAAAGGGCAAAGGAAAATGATCTTTTTTTAGTGGCGACATTTAATTTTCTGTAATATATGCACATGCGCCACCCAGTTACTGTTCTAGTTGGGATTAATCCATTTTTTTTCATTAGTAACCACAGTAATCCCATATTTTTTTGGCACTACATGAATTGGACTTACCCATTGTCTGAAATTGGGTAAATAATACCTGAGTCCAGCAAGTTTAGGACTTCAGCGCATACAACCTCCTTCATGTTTAGATTTAACTTGCGCTGATGTTGACGGACAGGAGTTGCTCCTTCTTCAAGTAGGATTCGGTGCATACACACCGTTGGATTTATTCCTTTAATATCTCATACTATCCATCCAATTGCACTTTTATATATTTTTTTAAACTTCTAGTATACTTGTTTCTTGCTCATGTGAAAGGTTAGAAGCAACTATTACAGGATAAGTATTATTTGGACCTAATAAAGCATATTTTAAAGAATTAGGAAGAGGTTTCAGTTCCAGCTTGGGTGAAACTTCAGCTTCAATTGAGGGATGATGTGTTCCCTTGAATTGCTCCAGATAGCCTGTAACTGAACCTCTTTCACCACTCCCCTCTTTTATTGGGCTTTGGTTGAGTTCCACTTCATCAGCTTCAGTTTCTTCGACCTTCAATGGATATTCATCTAAAAACTCAGCAGAAATTATTGAATCTAAAACATCTATAACAAAACAATGACTATTGTCATTTTCAGGCAATTTCATTGATTCAGAATAGAAAATTCAACAATTTTGTTAAGCACAGTCATAGTTAATTTTCTATTCTAGACATCAATCATTGTTTTTGCTGTGGCCATGAAAGGTCGGCCAAGCAAAAGAGGCATGTCCTTCTCATGATTACACTTTTTATTTATGTCTAACACAACAAAATTAGCAGGAATTATTAATTTATCAACTTGGACCAAAACATCTTCTACAACGTCCCTAGGATATCTAACAGAGCGATCAGCAAGTTCGAGGGACATTGTAGTAGATTTCAATTTATCCAGACCTAATTGCAAGTAGACAGAATATGACATCAAGTTAATGCTTGCCCCTAAATCAAGCATTGCTTTTTCTTTCTTAGCATTCCCCACAGTGATAGTTATTATGAAACTACAAGGGTCTTCTAATTTTGGGGGCAAGTCAGTTTGCAAAACAGCACTCACGGTTTTAGACATGAAAACTTTTTCATTATGTTCATACCTACGCTTTCTAGTGTTCAATTCTTTCAAAAACTTAGCATAGGCAAGCATATTTTTAATCATGTCTAACAAAGGTAAATTTACATGCACTTTTGACAACAAATCATAAATTTCAGAAAATGATTTATCAAATTTTGAATTTTTCAATCTACCAGGAAATGGAACTGGGGGAACATTAGACTTAGGGGGCACATACGAACATGGTGTCTGTCCCCTTATGCTTTTTTGTTGGGAGTTTGCTCCTAGCATTTCATAAAATGCTAAGGTTTCCCCCGCAGTTTTTTCACCCATGGCACCTCCAGCCGCATTATCAACTATTGATTGGCAAGTTTGGGTCAAACCATCATAGAAGGTTTGGTTTTGCAGCTCCAATGGGTAACCATAGTGAGGGCATTGAATGAACAACATTTTGAACCTTTCTCATGCCTCATAGAACGGCTCGTCTTTAGCTTACGAGAAATTTGCAATTTTTCTTCTTAATTCAGAAGTTTTAGCATGGGAATAGAATTTACCTATGAATTTATTGTACACCTCCGGCCATGTCCGAAGGGATCCAGGCGTGAGAGAAATGAACCATGTCTTTGCTGCATCTTTCAAGGTGTACGGGAAACACCTCATTCTCAATTCATCCTCTGTCAGGTCATTCAACAGAAAGTTTTGGACTACCCCATAGAAATCCCTGATGAAGGTAAGGGCATCCTCGGTTGTTGAACCATGAAAAGACGGTAATTGATTGTAGTGGACCGTCTTTAGCTCATAATTCCGGCCTACATTGGTAAGCACTATACAAGATAGTGAAGTTCCTACTTGGGGCCTACCAAAGTCTTTCATTAGCCTGAGGTTGGGGTTAGGGTTAGTATTGCGTGGAGGAAGTGCTGCCATGGTTGTTGTTATTTCTTGTGGTTCAAAAATTGGATTTTCAAAAAGTAATATTTTTTTTCTTTTTCTTATCAATATGATCGTCTAAAGGTAACAATTTAGGGTTTAAAGAACGACGCCCCTGCATAAAATAAAGAAGTAAAATAACAAAAATAAATAAATAAATAAATAAAATCAAACAAGTAAACAAATAAATAAATAAGATAATCAAGAAAGAGTAAAAGAGAAATAGAGAAAACTAAACAATTATTAAGTACTTCTTTACTCTTTTTTTTTTTTTTTAAAAAAAAAACGGTAATATTAAGTAAGGGGGGGGAAACAAACTTGAATGCAAATTTAAAGTGCTAGACAAAAAAAAAGGGAAAAAATAGCAATAATAGTAAGAAAAAAACAATCATGAAATTAATAAGAAAGGGGAAAAGTAAATAAAGGGAATAGGGAAAGCAAAAAAATAAATATAAAGTGATTTTTTTTTTGAATTGAATATTAACAATTATTTAAACAAAAGAAATAAAATTGCACAGTAAACAAATTCTCCGGCAACGACGCTAAAAATTGATGGACAATTTTAATATATGTCCTCGCAAGTGCACGAGTCAACTGTAGTGGTAGTGTGCAAAGCAAGGGTCGATCCCACAGAGAATTGTAACAATGCAATTTGTAATCTTGAAAATAACTAACTTGATAATTTTAATGCCAAAAATAAATTCAAAAGCAAAGTAATTGAATTCAAATGCTTAGGAAGGTAAACAAATGTATCACTAGGAACTAGAATATCAACTTTCAACCAAAGTGGAAAAAACTAGGGACGCAATTTAAAGTCAATAATTAAAAGTGAGCTAAGTACTTGGGAATTGAAGTGTTAAAGCAGTGTGCTCACAATTTGTGAATTAAAGAACTTAAACAAAGAGCAGTACGAATTGGAGATAAAGAAAAACCAGGAAAACTAAGGGGGCATTTACTTACCGGAAATTTTTGAGAATTTTCGGAAATTGAAAATGGAAAATAGTCAAAGGTGTTTACTATTGTCTTTTGCAAGAAATCAGAAACACAATCCAAACTTGTTTTCAAAAGTGAAAACACACGCGTGAACAGTAGAGGTAGTACCATCGAATCCTGCCAGCCAGATTTTATTCTTTCTTCCTTATTTTTCTCCTTTCTTCTCTATGTTAATGTTAGTCCAACCACCCTCCATTTTCCTTCATTACTTTCTTTGTCCCTTTCACACCCACCCTCCTTCTCCACTTTACTTTCTTCTCCAACTGCTGCTTCCGTCTATTGCGATTCCTCAGGCCATTGTCTCACACCCACCCGCCATTCCTCAGGCCATCGTCTATCTCACAGTCCACATTTGAACCTGGACGGCAGTACTCCAGTCGGCAGTCCCCACAAGCCAAGTAATTTTGTTTTTATTGAACTATTGATATTAGAACCTGCACTTTCTTCTTCTCTTTCGAACCTGCACCCTCTTTTTTATATTAAAAATTTATTATTGTTATTTATTGCTTGATATTTGATATTAGAAAGTCTGGGTGTGAAAGAGGGTGTCGGGTGGTGCTTGATTCACTCCAAAAGACGGAGTCACCAAAATCATCGGTTGGATCGTGTCCATCACCACATTCTAAATATGAAGATTTTTGTTTGTATTTAGCTACGTTCCTCCCTATTTGTTGTTATCTTTGCTTGGAGTTAGTTGTTGTTCTCATTTACTTTATGTTCCTCATACCTAAATGCTCACATAAACACATACTTAATACTTTAGTGGTCTCAAACTGTTTTATTGTTTATTACATACATAAATTTAAAGAACAGTGAAGGGGGGGAACTTTCATTGGTTATCATATTATTTTAATCAATTGAATCTAAATTTACCTCAGTGAGAAAAGCATTGAAGAGTTTGAGATTGGCTGTGGTTCTGTTATCTACCAGAAGTTTGTTAGGGCTACTTTTGCCCGTGGTTCACCAAAGTCTGTTCTTCAAAGCTGATGGAAACAGGAAGATAAAGTAGAAAAGCAGTAGCGTTGAGGGTTTTTCGTTAATGGAGTATTGTTTGTTCATTCCTGTTGCATTAATGTTCTTGTGTTTCTGCTAAATAATGTTGTCTAATGTCCAATTAGTTGGCCTGTGGACATGGAATCTTAAAAAAAAAAAAATTGAATCTAATATACTTGCTATATTCAAGCTATAATAACAGTTCAAACTGAAAAGTTTAGAGCTCTTGACTTGAGTATTTTTGAGTCTATAACACATCATGTGAAAACTCTACTAATGCTTAGATGAATAACGTCACAGAAAGCAATGATGATGAGGCAAAATGGTCTAATACGGCCGTTGTACAATTTTTGAGTATTTTAAATGAAAGTGTCAAAAAAAGTACGGATGGAAAGCTTTCATTCAAGCCTTCAGAATGGGCTGAAATTGTTCGTGAGATGTTAAATTCCACTGGGTTATGCTACAGGCTCTTAAAACTTAAAGGAAAGATGAATATGTTGAAAATGATGTACAGTCAGTTTTCTGAGTTGATTGCTCATACCGGGGTAATATACAATCCATCTACCAACACTGTGCACGCATGTGAGGATACATGGAATAAATTCTACACGGTATGAAACAGAAACTTCTTGTTCTATTAGTTTATATTGATACTGAATTATTTCATTCAATTGTATACTTTAATAATACATATATTTATGGTTGAAACAGAAGCATCCTAAATTCAAGACTTTTAAGCGAAATGGTTGCAAACACTATGAGTTAATGACTGAGGTGTTTGCCCGATCTGTTGCTACTGGAGGTCTTGCCAAATATTCCACACAAAGGCAACCAAACTTTGATGAGGAACGCGATGATGAAGATGAGTTCTTGCATAGTGCTATGCCATCATCAGTTTTTACTGAAGGTGGTACTAGTTCCAAAGGGAAAAGAAGTTTGGATGATTTGTTGAATACTGTTGGTAGCACCAAGAAGAGCGGTACCAAGAAATTGAAGGAACAGTTTGCCAATGCATTGGATACTATTAGTATGAGTATTTCTTCAAAACAAGCCTGTCAACAAGCTAGAGAAGAGGCAAGTATGATGAGTATGGAGGCAGTGGGTAACCCATACAGTGTGAAAGTGTGTATTGAGATATTGAAAAACATGAGTGAGATTCCCTCTAAAGCCATTAATGCATCTATCCAGTAGTTGGCAAATCCTGACATGCGTGAAGCGTTTATAGAAATGCCACCTGAATGGCAACGTAACTGGGTGTTATCTTTCACGTGAAGCGTTGAACTTGTATGTTGTTGTTGTTCTTGTTACTGCTTAGGACTTTGTGACCTCCTTAATTTGCTAATGCTTAGGACTTTGTGACCGCCTTAATTTTCTAATTGATGACTATATCTGTAATAACACTAATGTTAGTTTTAAATGTCAAGACTATTTTTGTTTCACATGTGTATTACACTTCATATTGCAGGAGTAATGTCAGAACATGGTTATAGACTTATAGTTCTAATAGCTCTAGTGACAGTGATGAAGAAGATTATACACTAGTACTTATCATTATTGTTGCATGCTTATTGATGGACGATGTAGAAAAAACTCCATGTAGGACCTCTATCCGTTCAAGTAAAGATTGCATAAATGAAATCTTGCATGGAAATCCTGCTAGGTGTTATGAATCTTTAGGATGGTGCCCCGTGTGTTCAAAAAGTTATGTGATAGATTGAAGGGGTTGGATGCGCTAAAAGATACAAGACATATATCAGTGTAGGAGCAATTAGTAATGGGTCTCCTAGCTCTAACGCATAGAAGTTCACAACATATAATTGCTGAGTGGTTTCAACATTCCACTAGAACTGTACATAAATGTGTGAAGTGTGTCATACGTGCACTTGTACTATTGGGAAACGAAATCATCAAGCCCGTTAATAGAGGACCGGTGCAACCAAAAATTTTAGCAAATCCC